CTCCGAAATGAAGGTCTTGAGTAAAGAGAACTTCAGAACTCGGCTGACAATGGTAGTGAGCTTGGGTTTGTCTTCACTGGCTGATGGACGATCTGGGGTGCTCCAGTTAGCATAGAAATAAATGGAAATAAGTACCATCAATTGAGTACTTCCCATATGCTAAGTACTTCATGAGCATTCTTTTATTGCCTAAGCTCAATGGAGGAATGAGAGCTCGGATGTGAGGAAGGGAGCAAAGTAGTGTCACATAAGTATCACCTTCTCCTAGAGCCCTGCTTTGTCAGGGAGGAGCCCAGCCAGTTCTCAGCTACCTGAAAACAGACCTGGGCCCACGTAGTGCCTGTGCCCACCCTATGAGTGGCAGCAGAGGCAGCTGAGTAGGGACTTTTCTGAGAGTTCAGAGATGGCAAGCTCCTTGTGGGGATAGTCACTCACAATTCCCACTCCTCCGCTCCCAAGTAGACGGTTGGCTGCGGCATGGGCACTCTCCTGGGACACCTGATTCCAGGGCTGGCCATCTATTACTTGGGGCTCTACTATGCAGTGACAGTGTCCCAAGCCCTCCTGCGAGGCCAGCATCTCCTCTTCCTTCCACTCCCGCCAAGGGACAAGCGAGGCCCGAGGTGGTGGCGACAGGTACATATCGAGGGAATGGTGAAGGTGGGGGCTTTCTTCATCTTGATCATCGTGGAATTTTTCTTCCCACCTGGAACCAACCATTTTCCCCTAGTGGAATGAAAGGATCCTCGGCTGCCTTTCCAGAACCACAGTTCGTGGCAGCATGCCACCATGTTTGGGTTCTTCCTGCTCAGTGGCCTGGTGGATCTCATCAGCCAGGTGTGGCTGGCCCGGCAGAGCATGAAGCTGGAGCGAGCGGCCATGTCCTTGGCCTTGTTTGCGCTGCTGCTGCAAACGGTAGCCCACATTGAGCACAAGAACGCCCTGGAGGTCCGCCTGCACAACCTGCTGTTGATCCCTGTCTTCCTGCTGGCCCTCATGTTCACCACTGATGTCTGGGTCCCTGACCAGCCCCCACTCCGGGTGCTGAAGGCCTGGGTGCTGCTGGTGCTTGGCTGCTGGATGCTGCAGGTGACATCGGTGTTGTACGCCCCTCCCTCCGGACAGCCCTGGAGGGCAGGCAGCCCCGTGGACCTCGCCTTCCTCACCGTCTTCTTCTGCTGGCACCTGGGCTTAGGGGCTGCCGTGCTGGCTGCTGTCTATGGTCTCTGTAGCCTCTGGCACCATCGCTGCTCCTCCTGGACGGGATTCCCAGGGGCCAAGTACCGGCCGTGCCCCACCAGCCCCAGCAATGGAGAACTCAAAAAGCTCAGGGGAGAGGCCATGCTGCAGGATGGAGACTTCTAATTTAAAGACTGTCCTTCTGTCCCCAGCTGTGCTGTCTTGTTCCTGTCATGAGCGTCGTGAAGATGCCCACTGGGCGAGTGACACTAGTGTCCTGGTATCCAAGTGTGGCTTCCCATTTCTGGAGCCATACTCCACGTCCACAAATAAACCTGCCGGCTCCTAGGATGGGCTTCTCGTGCTGTCAATCTATTGACCTTTTTGTCTGTTTGCTTCACTCCATGGATATGGTTTCCAGGTCTCTCTGAGGGGAATCCAGGAGGGGTGTTGAATGGAGAAGTGGATGGTGGCCGTGTTCTTCCAGCTCTATTCCACACTGACGACTGGTAGGAAGTTTCCCTTCCTTATCGTTCTTCTTGAAAATTAGATTGGCTAATTACTAATTACCAAAATCTGGCATAAAGCTACTTTTTTATTTTTATTTTTTTAATAATAGATGACTGGTAAGGGGATCTTAACGCTTGACTTGGTGTTGTCAGCACCACACTCTCCCAAGTGAGCCACGGGGCCGGCCCAAAACTACTTAAAGTAAGTCAATAATAGATACAAAATTCAGGAAGATGAACTCCTCAGGGGTGGGGAGGCAGCAGGATGGAAAAAGATTGGAGCACAGAGGTAGATGAGGTTACTGATCATGGTTTAGTTCTTAAAACTAGTGGTAGGGTCATAGGTATTTATTTATTTATTTATTTATTTATTTTTGTCTTTTTGTCTTTTTTTCGTGACCAGCAACAGATCGCAACCCTCAGTGTCGCGCCCGTACCGGACTGGGACCGGCAAGGGGATCGCAACCCTCGGTGTTGCCCCCGCTCCTCGCTCAGCCAGTGAGTGGCCGGTCTGTATGTGGGATCCTAACCCTCGGCGGGAGCTCCGCTGCGCTTCCCAAGCGGCGCACTGTAGCAGTCCGCCACCGGGCCAACCCGTCATAGGTATTTAAATAGGTAAATAAAAGAGCTTTCAAGGACCAATGATAGAAGCGTGTCATGAACCAGGTTCGTAATTACTCCAGTTCTGCACAATGAAGTCCATTTAAAACAACATGGCCTGGGAGTAGGCACAGGGTTGGGGCTCTCGTGGGAAAGTTTACACGGGTTTGTGCCCAAGGCTGGAGTGTTTCATGTCAGAGAAAGGGAGTCAGGAATCGTGGCCCACATCCACATTTGGATGGTTGTGAGAATTTCAGATGCCTTCGTTTTTCTCTGTCCTTTGTTTTTGTTTGTTTTCTCTGTCCTTTTTTGTTTTTGTTTTCTATGTTAATCAGAGGAGAGTGAGGAACTTGTTTTAAAAAAAGAACTGACCCCATCCACTCCAGCTCTGAGGGGAGGTGGAGCGGGGTGGCATATGGCTTCACACAGTCTGGCAGCAGATTCTGGGGCAAGAGAAGGGACCAAGGCACTTATCAGAGGCCCGGGCCTGGGGCGAGCAGGACCCAGCAAGGAGTTCCCAGGAGTGGGGCAGTTAGAGCACTCTTAGAAGAAGGAAGGGCTAAAAACTAATGCTAAAATTGTTTGCCTCGCTGGAATGTAAAAACATCCAATCTTTTCAACAAAGCCTGCTTCTGAAACAAACGTTTCATATGAGTGACTCTGAGAGAAAACAAAGGAAAGGGCTGTCTCTGGGTTGGTGGGAGCAGAGGGGAAAGAATCACCATGAAATGTGGGACGTGAATGACCACAGTGGCACTGAAGATGCAGGGACTCAGAGTCAGAGGGAACCTGAGAATGCTGGCCCCAGAGTTCACAGAAATTTCCAGAAAGCCTTTGGACTTCTCCCCGAATGAGGAGAGGAGGTACAAGTAAACTATGACGTCAGGTGACATATTAAGCAGATGAAATGAAATAGAGCTAAAGCAAACGTTACTGAGAGATGTATCCCTCAGTACACTTGGGGGCCACCACTACCACTGGTACGAGCCTGCTGGTATGAGATGAAAAAACGCAACATTTGGCGGCCTGGAGAGGCAGGAAGAAGGGAGGAGATGCCGGCCATAGATGTGGACAAGGAATCACAAAGCAAGATCCCCACTAGTAGGGGCTGGCCAGCTAGCTCAGCTGGTTAGAACGTGATGCTGCTAACACCAAGTCCAGGGTTCAGTCTCTGTACCGGCCAGCTGCCAAAAAAAAAAAAAAAAAAAAAAAAAAAAATACAAGATACAAGATTTGTATCCCCACTTGCGAAGCTGTTTCGATTCCACAGTAGATGACGTGGTTGGAAATGCTGTGCTCAGAGCTCCGAAAGCTTCAAGGGGTACAGAGAAGTTTTCCAAAATGGCAGATGAGGTGAGCTGTAGTTTGAAGATATCCCTGAACTTCACCTAAAGAGACGGTGCTCCTGAGCCTAGAAAATAGGCCCTGGAAGCTGTATGGCAAGAGGTTAAGTTAGAAAAGGAGAGCGCGAGAAGGAATGAGGAGTAGGCAGGGGTCCGGTGGACCCAGGGGCAGACTCCACATGTTGGAGCACAAATGATGCTTCATTTTCCCTCAGCAGCTGGATCCAGACCCCCATTTGTCCTCCCAACAGAGCAGTGGGTCAGCCAGGGGAAAGGCCCAGCACCCCTCCTTCTAACACCCCCACCAGGTAACTTTCAGGAACTCTGTTAGCAAACACATCTCCGCGCCTGCACCTGCTAACCAAAGACCAAAAGGTGAACACACAGGACAAGAGGGAAAGACAGCACGAGGACTTCCCAGCCAGCCTCTGCGGAGACAGCTTTGCACAGCTCGCTGCTGTTTACCTTTGATGGCTCTGTGGACAAATAGTGGCTGCGAAGGGAGGAATCTTTCTACACATCTGTGCTCTCACCCAGCTCAGCAAGAATCTGGCCACACACACATGTGACTCACACCAGCAGGTTTCTCAAGTGTTTTTCAGACTTGAAAGAATGCCAACATCATTATAAAAGAACTCCATTCTCAGATATTGTAATTGGGATGTCGCTCCATTGTGCTATTTTCATGAAGGAAAAAAATAATATTTATTCATTTTTTTCTGATTCCAGAAGCAATATGTTTATTGGATAAACAGCTGGAAACTTAGAAATGCATTAAGAACAAAATTGAAATTGCTCA